CTTTCTAGGTATGGCTGGGTTCTGTCGTATCCGGATTCCAAATTATGGCCTTATTGCCAAACCCCTGTATGAGGCTCCAGAGGGAGAAAAAAGGGAACCCCTTTAATGGAATAGGGACCACAGCGGGCCTTTGAGACTCTAAAGACAGAGTTGAATAGAGCACCAGCACTGGGGCTTCCAAATTTGGACAAGCCCTTTACCCTATACATTCATGAGAGGTCAGGGATAGCTCCAGGAGTCCTGACCCAAAAGCTGGGACCAGATCAGAGACCAGTGGCTTAATTTTCAAAACAACTGGACTCAGTGGCTCTTTGATGGCCAAGCTGCCTTTGGGCAGTAGCAGCCACAGCCCTGTTGGTAAATGAGACTTCCAAGCTCACCCTGGGACAACTCTTAGATGTGTTAACCCCTCATCAGGTACAATCTGTGCTGGAAGTCAAAGTACATCATTGGTCGACTGGAGGAAGGTTAACAAGTTATCAGGCCCTTCTAATGGACACCCCCGACATCCCCTTAAAGGTGTGCCAAACCCTGAACCCAGCAACTCTGCTTCCAAGTGGTTGAGAGTGGAGACCTACTGCATCAGTGTATGGAGACCATAGAACAAACTTACTCCAGCAGGCCTGATCTTCTAGATGAGCCTCTAGACAGCCCTGAGGTCGAACGGTTTACTGATGGGAGCAGTTTTGTAGAAATGGGGACTCAAAAGGCGGGGTATGCCATAGTTAGTCTAGATCAGGGGTGCCCAACCCCCGGGCCACAGACAAGTACCAGTCCGTGGCCTGCTAGGTACCGGGTTGCACAGGAGGTGAGCGGCGGGCGAGCGAGCGAAGCTTCATCTGTATTTACAGCTGCTCCCCATCGTCACATTACCACCTGAGCTTTGCCTCCTATCAGATCAGCGGCGGCATTAGATTCTCATAGGAGTGCGGACCCTGCTGTGAACCGCGCACGCGAGGGATCTAGGTTGCGCGCTCCTTATGAGAATCTAATGCCTGATGATCTGAGATGGAGCTGAGGCAGTGATGCTAGTGCTGGGGAGCAGCTGCAAATACAGATTATCATTAGCAGAGAGGTTTGACTGCACAGAGACCATAATAAATCAATTGCTTGCAGACCCATATCAAAACCCTACCAGTGAGTGGCAAGTGAAAACAAGCTCAGGGCTCCTACTGATTCTGCATTATGGTGAGGTGTATAATTATTTCATTATATATTACAATGTAATAATAATAGAAATAAAGTGCACAATAAATGTAATGCACTTGAATCATCCCAATCTCACCCCCCTCCCCTGCCCCAGTCTATGGAAAAATTGTGTTCCACGAAACTGGCCCCTGGTGCCAAAAAGGTTGAGGACCGCTGGTCTAGATGAAGTCATAGAAGCCAAGCCTCTGCCACCCCAGACATCAGCCCAGAAGGCTGAACTAACTGCATTAATGAGTGCTTTGCAATTAGGGAAGGATAAGAAATTAAATATTTTTACTAACTCTAAATATGGGTTCCACATGCTACATGCTCATGCTGCCATTTGGAAAGAAAGAGGAATGTTAACTGCTAAAAATTCCCCCATAAAACATAAAGATTTGATTCTGGCTCTTTTAGAAGCAGTGCAGCTTCCAACACAGGTCACAGTAATCCACTGCAAGGGCCATCAGAGGGATGGCTCTTTTGTGAGCTAAGGGAACAGCAAAGCTGATCAAATTGCAAAACAGGCAGCTTGGCTGCAGGAACCCGAACAAGTTATGGCTCTAGTGATTGGCCCCCCTGAACTCTCTAGCCTTCCCCAGTATTCCCCACAGGTACATGAAAATGCTGAGAAGTAGAGCTATGAGAAGGGAAGCACAGGCTGGTATAAAAAGGAGGATAAGGTTCTAAGCCCTGAGGCCCAACGATGGAAACTCACTATGAGCTTACATGATGTCACCCACTATGGGAGGGATGCACTATGGGACTTGGTGCAAAAGGCTTTTTCAGGGAAGGGGCTTAAAAGAACAGCAAAACAAATAACACTTGCCTGTTATTTATGAGCCCATAATAACCCACAGACCCATCCAATCCCTCCTTCGTTACTCAGGCCAATCCAACGCCAAGGGACATATCCAGGGGAAGACTGGCAGTTAGATTTCACTCAAATGCCCCCATGATCAGGATACAAATATCTTCTGGTGTTTGTTGATATTTTCACAGGATGGGTTGAAGCCTTCCCCACCTGATCTGAAAAGGCGTTGGACGTCTGTAAGTCCCTTTTAAAGGAAGTAGTTCCTCGGTTTGAACTTACAAAGTCCCTCCAGAGTGATAATGGGCCCTCTTTTATAGCCAAAATCACACAGAGACTCACAACGGCCCTAGGGATAGACTACAAGCTACACACCTCTTGGCACCCCCGGTCCTCAGGGAAGGTAGAGAAAATGAACCATACTTTAAAGAAAACCTAGCAAAGCTCTGCCAAGAAACTCATGCACCCTGGACCAACTTGCTTCCTTGCACTCCTCAGGGTCCATGTAGCCCCCAGGAGTGGTCTGAGGCTTAGCCCATTTGAAATAACGTATGGGAGGCCTTTTCTTACTACTGACATTCTACTAGATGAGGAAGTGAACCAGGCCCTGAGATATATTATTAATGTAGGACAAGTTCAGAGGGCAATCCAGGACTATGCCCACAAGGCACTGCCGATTCCCACTAAAATTACAGAGGAAGGAGCAGTTCCTTTACAAATAAACCCCGGGGACCAAGTTCTTCTTAAAACCTGGAAAGAGGGGTCCCCCCCAACACCAACTAATGCCAAAATGGGAGGGCCTCTATAAAGTAATTTTAGCCACCTCTACTGCTGTCAAACTTCAAGGGACATCTAGTTAGGTACATTTGTCCAGACTAAAGCTTTTACCTCCAGAAACCCCGCAGGTCACAACAGAAGAACAATACACCTGTGAGCCAGTGGACAATCTGAGATACCCATTCAAAAGACAGGCACCATCAACAGATAAGTAAAATGATGTAGTGGGTTGGCTCCTATTCGAACCTTAACAGGACTTGGGACCTCTCTTCTTACCTTAGCTAATGTGGTTCTTGACAATTTTCTGGCCCTTGATTACCTTCTGGCCAAACAAGGCAAGAGTGGCTTCATAATTTTGGCAGGGACCATACTGCCTCCCTTGTCTGGTCAACAGTTAAGGAAGCCCAAAATTAACCCTGGTTCCTTCCCTTACTAAGCCCTTTAATGGCTATCATTGTTCTTCTCCTTTTTAACCCTTGTTTGTTTAACCTTTTGGTTAAGTTTGTGTCTTTCAGGCTCCAACGGTTTGAAGTAAGGCTCATGATGGCTCAAGGAATTCAGCCCATTCCAGCGGAAGGTGGCCCAAGTCCCTACAGGTCCTTGAAACAGTCAGCGAGGGACATCTAGGGCAGGCTAGGGTCTGCGGCCCCTGTCCAGCAGGAAGAAGTTTCAGAAGAAGAGACCGTCGGCCCCTTACCCTTAAGAATAAGGGTGTAGAGTCTCTCGGGGGGAATGAGACAGGCTGGGACCAGGGACCCTTTGCTGCAGTGCTTGCACATGGACACACCTCTCCTCGAGCAACAAAATACAAATAAACTGTATGGGACTAAAAATAACTGCGTGCATGCAACGTTGGGGCAAATTCTGGACCCCCAAAATACAAAGAGACCAAAAAAGCTAACTGCCACTCCCGAAAAGCCTGGAGCAAAAGCAGGGTACAGCGCATGCCCCCTGCACTCAACACCAACGTTGGGGCAGATTCTGGACCCCCAAAATACAAAGAGACCAAAAAAGCTAACTGCCACTCCTGAAGAGTCTGGAGCAAAAGCAGGGTACGGCACATGCCCCCTGCATTCAACACCACCTAAAGGGGTGGGCAGACCACCTAGGCCACACCTCTGGCCCAACCCTTGGATACACCCCTACCCTCACCCTATATAAGGAACAAGCTTGCTCCCCCCCCCCCCCCCCCCCCCCCCCCCCCCCACCCCAGCGAGCAAGCCAGCAAGCAAGGGAATATGTTGCTTGTTCTCTCTCCCCCATGCTACAGCAGGGGTCCCAATAAAGCCTTGCCTGAATTTCTTATCTGGCCTCTAGTCAATTTCTATCGATTAGGGAAGGCCAAGAACCCTGGTCAGTAACACTTTCGTGTCTGACTTTTTATGCTCAACTTTATGTTTCTGCAGTTCATCCATGTTGTTGCCTGTAGTTGCAGGTCACTTTTCTCATTGCTGAGTAGTATTCCAGTATATGAACACTGTGAATGTATTAATTTATTCTATTGTTGATGGTCTTTTGCGATATTTCCATTTGGGTTTATTAAAACAAATGCGCCTGTGAACATTCTGGTAATTGTTGGTGACCCCTAAGCACACGCTTCTCTTGGCTGAACACACAGACATGGAACTACTAGGTCATAGGGTATGCTTCTTTACTAGCACGCCAAATTGTTTTCTAAAGTTATTCTAGTTTACATTCCAGCAGCATGACAGAAGGATTCAGCTACTCCACAACCTCGCCAACACTTGGTATTTTCCTTTTTTTTTCTATTCTATTTCACAGTATTAAAACAACTGAAGCAAAGTTTAGGTTGCTTTGGGAGCCAACTTTTGGATTTCTGTTTGGTTCTCTTTATTATTAAGCATCGCAGACTTGCACTTGGTCCAGTCACAGAGTACGGACCGAGTGCGTTTTCGACTTTGCTCCAGTTTTGCTCACTCCGCCACTTGGATGTCCTCCGCTCAAGAGTATAAGGTGTGCATCCAGGGAGGGCACGTCCTGTGAGGACTCTGAAAGCTGACCACTGGGTAAACGAAGCGTTTGCGGCCCTTCCTCGGCAGCGTCCTCTCCCGCCAGCCTCCTGGAATCCCACCAGCCACAGCTGCCTCACAGGGAACGCGGCGCCCCTCAGCCTCGGCCAACTCGGGGGCGGGGCAGCGGGGCGAGGCCGGCGGCGCGCGCTTGCGCACTGAAAGTCCGGCGCATGCTCCGAGTGCGGGGCGTCCGCAGCAGAGGGTAGGCGAGTCTCCCGCGCCCTACCTTCCGCGGCGGGGCCGCAGCGATCTGCTAGTTCCGAGTTCTTCTGCCAATAAAGTTCCTGAAAAAAGTCACAGTCATTCTTAAAAGAGCAAAAGAGGGCGCGAGCCGGCCGGAGGCCCTGTCGGAGGGCTGGCGCACCGGGCGGCGGAGACGGCGGTTACACCGCGACCTGGACGAGCGGTCGCGCCGGGCGGCGGGCGGCGGGCGGCGCGGGGACGGTGAGTAGCGGCTCGCGCCCGGGGCGGCTGGCCGCACTCATCGCCCTCGACCGCGGCTGGCTGCGGAGGACCCGCCCGTCCCCGCGGCCCGGGATGTGCCCACCGGGGGCCGGACAGGGGCTCGGCGGGAGCCTCCAGGCCGGGCGCCCTCCCCGGCCCGGCCGCCGCACGCGCACTTCGAGTGCGGGGCCCGGGTCCCCGCGGCAGGCGGTGGGCGCAACCCCCGGCGCCCCCTCCCCTCTCCGCGCCCCCGCCTCCCTGGGGTGGCCCTCGGGCGGGTAGGTGCAGCGGGGCGGTTGGGGACTGGGCATTAGGTGTGGGTTGGGGCTGGCGGGGAAAGGGCCCAAGCCCCACCCTGGCTTCCAGACCCCGTCCTGGGCGGCGGGCCCCTTCCCTGCCTGCGGCCCCACCCAGCCCGGGTGTTGCTCGGGTTCCGCTCGAATATGAATGAGCCTGACTACGCGGTCTCCTTGACACTGGCTACCGCAGAGTCACTTCACTCGGGGATCCCAGTGGCAGTACAGTCTGAAAAGGGCTGTCTACTTCTCCAGGTTTTATGTAACTCCTGACATCTTCTAGGTAACTTCATTGAACTTGAGAAGTTTTTCAGTGCTTTTATAAATATAATCATACCTGTGCTGAAGTACAGGCTGTGATGAAAAAGCCACCATTTCGATCAGTGAGTTAACTCATCCTTTACTTTTCTAATGTATTGGACGGCTGTTGGTTGGCAAAATCTTTAAAATTAAACTTGGAAAAAGAACACATGTAAAGTGTTACTGTCAAGCTTTTAAAGTATTGTACTCAGAATTATGCTAATTTTCTAAGAATTTAATTGTTTTGGTATAGGTCTTTAAGTTTGTAGAGTATTGGCTGATAATCACAGGAGTCTGACTGCCTGTGTTAAAATCTGATTCCACTTACTTTTCTTTACATTTTATTATTTTAAAAATTAATATATGGTAAAATTGACTTTGTTGGGGGGTGTGCAGTTCTGTGAATTTTAGATATATGTAACTACCATAACAGTCAGAATTTAGAACAGTTCGATCACCTCCAAAACACTCATGCTATCCTTTTATATCCTCCCCCTTACCCCAAGCCCTGGCAATTACTGATCTTTTCCAGAATGTCATAGAAATGGAATCATGCAACATGTAACCTTCTTTCACTCAGCATAATGCCTTTGAGATTCCTTCGAGTTGTTGGATGTATCAACAATTTATTCTTTTTTTATTGCTGAGTAGTATTCTATTAGATGGATGTGCTCCCAATGAAAGACATTTGGATTGTCTCCAGTTTTTGGTGATTATGACTATAGCTGCTATAAACATTGCTATACAGGTTTTTGTGTGAACATACGTTTTCATTTCTCTAGGGTACTGCTAAGATTGGGATTACATGATCATATAAAGTATGATTAACTTTGTAATACACTGTCACACTGATTTCCAGAGTGGCTGTATCATTTTGCATTCTCACCAGCAACATGTGAGAGTTCCAGTTGCTTCATCTCCTCTCTAGCACTTTGTATTGTTGGATTTTTTAGTTTAGCCATTCTAATAGGCATGTAGTGGTATCTCGTGGTCTTAATGTGTCTTTAACTAATGGCTAAAGATGTTGAATATCTTTTCATGTACTTACTTGGCATATATAATCTTGGGTGAGTATCTGGCCAAGACTTTTGCCTATTTTTAAATTCAGTAGTTTCTTTCTTATGTTGAGTTTTGAGGGTTCTTTATATTTTCTGGATACAAGTTGTTAGATATGTTTTGCAAAAGTTTCTTGCAGTCTGTAGCTTCTTTTCATTGTTTTAACAGTGTCTTTCACAGAGCTAATGTTTTTAATTTTGATGAAATCTAATTTATCCATATTTCCTTTTGTACATCTTTTGGTAGCATGTCTAAGAACTTTGCCTAATCCCAGGTCAAGAAGATTTTCATCTTCTAGATATTATAATTTTATATTTAGATCTATAATCTTTTTTTTTTTTTTTTTTGCGGTACGCGGGCCTCTCACTGCTGTGGCCTCTCCTGCCGCGGAGCACAGGCTCCAGACGCGCGGGCCCAGTGGCCATGGCCCACAGGCCCAGCTGCCCTGCGGCACGCGGGACCCTCCCGGACCGGGGCACGAACCCGCGCCCCCCGCATCAGCAGGCGGACCCCCAACCACTGCGCCACCAGGGAAGCCCTAGTTTAAATTATTTACATAAGGTGTGAGATTTAGGGGAAGGTTTACTTTTTTGCATATGAATGTCCAGTTGTTCCATCACCATTTGTTGAAAAGACTGTCTTCTCCATTTAATAGTTTTGCACCTTTGTCAAAAATCAATTGGCTGTATTTGTGTGGGTCTATTTTGGCCCTCTGTTGTGTTCCATTGACTTTTGTATCTTTCTCTTTGCCAGTATCAAACTTTCTTGATGGATGTAGTTTTATAGTGTCTTAAAGTTGGGTAGCATAATCTTCTCCAGCTTTATTCTTTTTCAAAATTGTTTTAGCTATGCTAGTTTATTTGCCTTTCCATATAAAGTTTAGAATCAGCTTGTCTCTAACTACAAAATATTCTGCTGGTACTTTGGAATTATATCAAACCGTAGATCAATTGGGGAGAATTGCTATTTTTACTTTGTTGAATCTTTCAATCTATGAACATGATGTATCTTTCCATTTATTTCTTTGTTTCATTAGTGTTTTGTAGTTTTCAGTATACAGATCCTGTACATGTTTTGTTAGATTTATGCCAAAGTATTTCATTTTGGGAGGAAACTATTGTAAATATCATTTAAAAAATTTTTGGCTTCAAATTGTACATTAAGATATTAGAAATTCAGCTGAGTGTTGTGTGTTGCTCTTGTATCCTGTGTCCTTGCTAAACTCACTTATTAGTTCCAGGATTGTTTGTTTGAATCCTTGGAGTTTTCTAGATAGACAATCATGTCATCTGTGAATAGAGATAGTTTTTTTTCCCTAATCTATAAGCATTTTAAGTATTTTAGTTGCCTGTTGCTCTGGCTAGGCCTAATGATAAACAGGAGTAGTGAGAGTGGACATCCTTACCTTGTTCTCAGTCTAAGGGGGAATTCAATCTGTCTTTCAGAATTAAGTGTGATGTTAGCTGTAGATTTTTTTTTTTAATAGATGCCCTTTATCAGATTGAAGAAGTCCTCTTCTGTTTCTAGTTTGCTGAGAGTCTTTTTCACAAATGGATGTTGATGTGGTTTTTCTTCTTTACTCTGTTAATATGGTGGATTACACTGATTGATTTTTGAGTATTGAACCAGCCTTGCATTCCCGAATAAAGCCCATTTGGTCCTGGTTATTCTTTTTATATATTGCTGGATGCGATTTACTAATATTTTGTTGAGGATTTTTGCATTTGTGTTCATGAGGGGTTATTTGTTTAGTTTTCTTTTTTGTACTGTCTTTGTGTGGTGCTGGTATCAAGATAATGCTGGCTTTATAAAATAAGTTAGGGAGTGTTTTCTCCTCTTCTGTATTCCAGGGGAGAGTATGTATCATTCTTGAAAAGTTTGGTAGAATTCTCCAATGAAATCACCTGAGCCTGGAGATTTCTTTTTGAGTTTTTAAAGTTATAAATTCAATTTTCCTAATGCTTATATCAATTTCACTGATTTCTGCTCTTTATTATTCCCATCCTTTTGCTTGCTTTGGGTTTGTTTTGTGATTTTTTTTCTAGTTTTTTGAGGTGGGGGCTTAGATTATTGTTTGAGACTTTTCTTCTTTTCTAAGGTAAGCATTTAGTGCTGTAAATTTTCCCTCTCAGCAGTATGTTAGCTGTGTCCCATAAATTTTGACATATTTTCATTTTAATTCAATTCAGTTATTTTTTAAATTTCTCTTGAGCTTCTTCTTTGGCCCATGGGTTGTTGAGAAATCTGTGTTTTTAATTTCCAAATGTTTGGAGATTTTCCTGTTATCTTTCCATTACTGATTTCTAGTTTGATTTCATTGTGGTCCCTTTATTTGGCTTTTGTTGAGGGTTGTTTGAAGGCCTAGAATATGTTCTATTTTGGTATATGTTCAGTGGGTGCTTGAAGTATATTCTGCTGTTGTTGCATGGACAGCTCTATAAATGTTGATTGGATTCTGACAGTTTTCTGTTTTTAGAATTTCATTTTGTTTTATTGTGTTTTATAGTGTTTTTGAGTATCTCTTTGTGTAACTTGTTTAGCTGCATAGGTAATTTATCACAGTCTGTTGGTGTCAACATTTTACCAGTTCAAGTGAAGTTAAGAAACCTTACCTCCCTTTTGTCCTCTTCCATGTATAATTTTTTTTTTTTTAATTTGGCTGTGCAAGGTCTAGTTGCAGCATGTGGGATCTTTGTTGCAGCACACGGCATCTTTTTTTTAGTTGCAGCACGCAGGCTCTTTTAGTTGCGGCATGCGAGATCTTTATTTGTGGCATGTGGGATCTTTAGTTGCGGCACGCAGGATCTTTTTTTATTTTTTCTTTTTTTTTTGCAGTACGCGGGCCTCTCACGTTGCGGAGCACAGGCTCCAGATGCGCAGGCTCAGCGGCCATGGCTCACGGGCCTAGCCGCTCCACGGCATGTGGGATCTTCCCGGACCGGGTCACGAACCCGTGTCCCCTGCATCGGCAGGCGGACTCTCAACCACTGTGCCACCAGGGAAGCCCAGGATCTTTTTTTAGTTGCAGCATGTGGGCTCGTGGCATGCAGGATCTAGTTCCCTGACCAGGGATCGAACCCGGGCCCCCTGCATTGGGAGCACAGAGTCTTAACCACCGGACCACCAGGGAAGTCCCCTCTTCCACGTATAATTACTTGTCTTAAATGTTTTCTCTACATATATTGAAAACCATATTGAACAGTATTATAATTTTTCTTTCAACTGTCAAATGTAACAGAACATTTAAGAGAAGTCTGCTATATTTACCCATATTTTTGCTTCTGTCATCTTCTTTCTCTTGTTCCAATACTTTAAGTTGTTGTTTTAATCATTTAATTATGTCTGAAGTGGAGACCTAGAACCTGTACTTTAACAAGTGCTCCTAGATGCTTCTTACAGTCGTGCAAGTTTGTGAAGCATTAGGGACAATTACTGAGACTCCATTAGGGGCAAAGAAAGGAATGTTCTTCACATTTCAGACATGTTTTGTGTAGTGGTTGTATAAATGGATTTTTGGTTAAGGTAGCTGGAATATAATAGCTAAGCAGACAGGAACTTAACTAGTAATTTTAAGAAGAAATATGAAGAAATTGGCTTTCTGTTCTTTTCAGTCTAAAATGCGAACAGTACACATTCTATTGCTTTCATTATATGAGTAACTGTAACTAGTCTGAAACTAATGAAAAAAATGCATGGTATAAGATGATGTGTAGAGGATCCATTGTAATCTAAACACTAAAGCACAGTAACTAAGAGCCCGATGCTATCACGTGGTTGCATAGCATTATACAAAACCCTTCCTTAGGGTGCTGTTCTAGGGACATTAATTATTACCTGTGAGGATGAAGAGCAGTTTCCTTAGATTTTGTATTTGTTGCCCATTTGGTGGTAACTATCCACCAAATGGGATAAAAGGAGGATTTATTATGGTATATGAAACTACCATTTTTTTGAATGCCTAACTTTCACTGTGCTAAGTGCTTTGTATCTATCATTGATCAACAATCCTGTGAGGTAAATATCCTCAGGAAACTGAAGCTTCAAGGGGTTAAGCAATAACTTCACTAAAAGCACAGAACCAGTAAATAGCAACTAGTAAGTCAGGCCTCGACTCTTAACACTCATACTCTAGTCTCAGTGAAAGGCAGAACTATGTAATCTAGGCATTTATTGGTACCTGGAAGTCATACATTCTGCTGTTGTTAAGGGTGCAAAAGTGAATGGTATTATTGTCTCTTTTTTCAAAGAATTTACATTATCTGAACAGGGTGGGGAGAGGGCCTTCAACACGGAAAAAATTCTTGCAATTCATTATGATTATTTCTTGATAAAACAATTATAGCTTATTTTATTTTATATAGGTTTTATGTCATGAAAAAATAACTTCATTTTAAACCAAAGATTTGAGAGAGAAGATCGGATCACCTGGAATTAAATTTGGCACAGAAACCTTTTCAACTCCAAAAATGTTGGAGGAAGATATGGAAGTGGCCATAAAGATGGTGGTTGTAGGGAATGGCGCAGTTGGAAAATCAAGTATGATTCAGCGGTATTGCAAAGGCATTTTTACAAAAGACTACAAGAAAACCATTGGAGTTGATTTTTTGGAGCGACAGATACAGTATGTACTTGGCTGTTTTATCCTCTCGGTTTTGATATGTGAGCTGTGTCCAAGAGTTTGCTCAGAATAATAGTAACTGAGTACAATACAATCCAAGGCTAGGTGTCTAGTGGCAGCGGGTTTTCAGTTATTCACTCCTTTGTGTGTCTTTGCCTTCTTTTTTCCCCCTCCCCCATCTCTTCCCTTTCTCTCTCATTTTTTCTTCTTTTTTACCTACACTTCTCCCTTCTCTCTTTTTCAATCTTACATCTGTTTTATATTTATTGGTGGCACCCTGAGCACTTCTTAAACGCAAACTGACGCTTGATTCTACCGAGATTTCTGTCGACTATTTTATTTGGAAAGAAAGTTACCTGTCTCGCAGAATAATTTTCATCTCTTATATTATGGGATCTGTTTGTGTAAAATGTCTCTTCTCTTTTTAAAACTGGGCTTATAGAAGTTAGAGAATTAATAATTTGTTTTTACTTTAAAGAAGTAAGAGAAAGATTTGAGAGGATTAAATACTCCTGTGAAAAGGAAATCCAATTGGATTCTAAAACACATCAAAGTAACACTTTTTGTCATTAGTCCTGAGAACTTTTAAGGATATTTTAAATTGTAGGAGAAACATTAAACAAATCTGATTTAACTATCCCAGACACTAGCATCAAAGATAATTGTGTTCACTGTTTTAAAGATGTTGAATTTATAATCTGTATTCTGTTACCCTCTTTTTAAAAATACTTCTCTATTTGCTTCCTTTCTTAGATATTTTAAGGGGATTCATTTTAAATCTTGATGATGTTTATTTTTTGCACTTGCTATCTGGACCAAATTAATATTTTAAGTATACAGTTGACCCTTATTATTCAGACTCCATATTTATATTTTAAGTATGCAATTACTTCTCATTATTTGTGGATTTCATATTTGCAAATTCACTGCTTGCTAAAATTTATTTGTAACCCCAGACTCAGTACTCCCAGTACTCTGATGGTCATTTGTGGACATGCACAGAGCAGCAAAAAATTTGAGTCACTTATACACACACGTTCGGCTGAGGTTGAACAAGGCGACCCACTGTGTTTTTTTTTCATCTCTCATACTGTACATGAGTGGCCTTTTCATGTTCTGTTTTTGTGCCACATTTTTGTGTTTTTTGTTGGTAGTTTCGCTGTTTAAAATGGCCCCAAGCCTAGAGCTGAAGTGCCGTCTGGTGAGCTGTGACGTGCCTTATGGAGAAAACACATGTATTAGATAAGCTTCGTTCAGGCACCAGTTATAGTACTGTTGGCCATGGGTTCAATGTTAATGAATCAACAGTGTATATTAAATAAAGTGTGTTTAAACAGAACAATGCAAAAAACAAGGTTATATATTGATCAGTTGATGAAATTGTAACCAGGGGCTCACAGGCACCTCACCCGCCTGGTATTTTCCCTCAGAGGAATGGTTCAGGATTTGCTAATTCAGTGTTGGCAGTGACTCTGTAGAACAGAACTACTGCCTGCGAATAAGACAACAGGTGTGACAGAACAGAGTTAATTTGGGGGTTAAAGGGCAACCAAGCAGTAAGCTGCTTCTTTCCTTTCTTACTATTCTCCCCCATTAGAATAGGGTAGCAGGAGGAGGGCAAGCACTGACCTAAGGGAACCCTTTCCCAGGACAGCTGACCCTGGGTGTCCAGGATCCCACGGACACCAACATCCATGGGCACTCAGTTCCTTGTATAAAATGGCATAGTATTTGCATTTAACCTACACACGTGCTCCCATAGACTTTCAGTCATCTCCAGATTACTTATAATATCTAATATAATGTAAATGCTGTGTAAATAGTTGCCAGGCACACAGTAAATTCAAGTTTTGCTTTTTGGAACTTTCTAGAATTTTTTTTCCAAATATTTTCTATCTGCAGTTGGTTGAATCCTCAGGCATGGACCCCTCGGATGCTAGTCTTAGAGCCACCACTATCTGTGACTGTGGTTGAAGGAAAAAACATGACAGATAAATCCAAATCGTGTAAAATTACAGCTTTAGGGGAGTGTCTTTCACCCTTTACTTGCACTGTTGGTAATGGTATCAGCATTTAAAAGCGCTCAGACTTTTTCAGAGTGAAACCAGCAATGTAGTTTTTTTAAAATAAGTAAATAAATAAATTTGTTTATTTGTTTATTTATTTTTGGCTGCGTTGGGTCTTCGTTGCTGTATGCGGGTTTTCTCTCGTTGTGGCAAGCAGGGGCTACTCTTTGTTGCGATGCACGGGCTTCTCATTGCGGTCGCTTCTCTTGTTGCGGAGCACGGACTCTAGGCGCATGGGCTTCAGTAGTTGTGGCACACGGGCTTAGTTACTCTGCGACATGTGGGATCTTCTTGGATCAGGACTCGAACCCGTGTCCCCTGCATCAGCAGGTGGATTCTTAATCACTGCACCACCAGGGAAGCCCAACAATGTAGTTTTAATACCACCAGATTTGAAAAATACATTTCCTTTGCATATGAAATTCATTCATCTCTTGTTTCAGAGTTAATGATGAAGACGTCAGGCTCATGTTATGGGATACCGCAGGTCAAGAGGAGTTTGATGCAATAACAAAGGCCTACTATCGAGGTAAATCATGGGTGTCTTTAGTTTGCTTTGACATGTTCTTTTAGCTGAACAAAGAACTTTGCTTTTCTTGTTTCCCATAGAAGGATTTCTCTTTAAGAATATTTAAATTAATACCAAAGTATTTTTTAAAACCCCAGGCTATTATTCTTCTAAAGATCTTCTTGGGTGGTAAATAATACTCTGTGCTATAGACTGTTTATCTCTGCCTTAGAATTACATGACTCATATAGTCATTCCCAGACCTAATAAGTCAGAAGTTGTGAAATGTCTTCTCTGACTCCAGGGAAATGACTACGTAGAGTGGAAACTAACATAAGAAAAAGTAAAGCCCTGGCAGACAAGATGGCATTTTGTTATGATATTTAATGTGGGTAAAGCCTTCTCTAGGCTATACGAGTTCAGGGAAGTATGAGATACATGTGAAAAGGAAGAGCTACAATGATAGGATCTAAGACTAAATAAACTGTGGGGGAAATTCCTCTTTTTACCTACCTAGCTTTCTTCTCTTAATTCTCAGCCTAAAATATATGTTCTTTTTGTGTGGAAAAAAATAGGTTGGGCTATTTCTTTTTAAACTTTTAACAATGTGATGTGGCAGTATTACTTTTTAACTAGTATGGTTATTTTTGGAGAAAGTATTATCATTATGTCTCTCTAATTTAAAAGGGCAAAACTGTGAGTCCACAATTATCTCAAAATAAAGTTTAACTTAAAAAAAGACAAAACTGGTCAAATGTCAAAATGATTTGATTCGTATATGAATAAAAAGGAGAAAACGTTGGAACTGTACAGTTAAGTAGCTCATTTGGGTCCCTAATTTAAAAAAAAAGACCAGGTAGCTAAACATATTTTAATATCCACTGCCATAAGACTTTGTTCAACATTATTATCTTCTAATTTTTTTAACTTGACTCATCCAGTTTGTTGCAGACTTCTTGTTTTAACTTGTTAGATGTCCATGAATCATACCGTTTCTCTTTCATATGTTTACAAAAAACATTCTTTGCCAGAAACTAAAAAGACAGCCCATAATTATTATTTACATCTTAATTTATATGGGTGATGTTCAAATTTCTTTTCACTTTGTTTCATTTGGACTAAAAGGCTTTAAACAGCATTGATTTCCCTGTGTTTAACATTTTAACTTAAAGCAATCTTAAGTGTATAAATAGATCTGTTAAAAGGTTTTTTTAAAATGTAACGTTTTTTAGCCAACTATGTTAAAATGGCAAAGAGGGTAGATACTGAGACAGGTCTTAAGCTTCAGCTTTTTCCCTCACATCCCTATTTGAATTAAGGAACAAACAGTGGCAATGTTACATGAATTTGAGAAATGGCATATTGGACTTATATGCTTTTTTCTTTTTGAGGTTCTATCAGAGTGCTTTTGGTTGCTGACAGCAGAAAAGCAATTTCAAACCGACTTATTTAGCGTCTGTTGACTTGTTACTGGGAGTAGCTTTCATTTGTGGTCTGTTGGGACTATAACCTTGCTGATTCTTCTGGCTGGCCGCCTCCTTGTGTGGGGTTCCTCTTCATGCTGATTTTCCTCTTGTCTGCAAGTTTGCTACCATCGACAGTGCTTTTTGTTCACATTCTTGGGGACCGAGGGTTACTTCCTACAACAGTGGACCAAAAGTCCAGAGCTTTTATCTGATTAGACCACCTTTGACCAGATTACAGTGAGTAGTCAGAGGAAGGTGATTGCCCTAATGGGCTTGGCGCACTTGGGGCTCCCCCAAGGCAGAGGGAAGTTTAGCTGCCTAAACCATAGGCTACTGTACAGAGAGGGAGAGGTGTTCTTGGGGACAGGGCACTGGATGGCGGCTAGGCACCAGGTAATATCTGCTACTAGTATAGATTCAGATGACGATATAATTAAATAAAGAGTAGGAAGAAAAGGTAAGGTGGGCAGAATGAGTTAAGATAGAGATTTAGTGATAGAAACACTATGCCTTATAAAATTATGACCTACTGACTTATGTCCTAAAAATGTGTTATTCAAGATGCATAAAAATTATATTTAAAAAAGAAAAAATTTATTGTAATTCATTTAAAAGACCTATTATAGCAAGACCATTGCTCATTATGTTCTTAGAATGCTGGCTTAATTGTACAGTGAGACATGTGGAAACATGATCTCCTTATCAGTAGGTTAGAACAGAGCACAGATCATATTAGGAAGCCTTTGGGAGCCCAGATGACTCCTGTTAAACCCTTAAGAAAGTCCACCCTAGGCAGTAGAAACCGTACTTAGTACAGAAAGTTACATACAACATGAAGTAGACTTTTATTACAGTTTTTTACTGTGACTTGGTTCTCAGAAAAAAAATGCTTCTAAGTATATGTAAATTAGGTTATAGACTTGAGACCTGTTATTTGAGATCATGCACATAAGTAGAAGGAAACCCTTATTTTCTTAAAAAATAATTTTTTTTCACAAATATAAATGAATATAAATTGTTGGAAATGAAATAGCTCTGGACAAGAAGCTAGTTATAAGTTATAATTATAAATGCAAGAATTAAAGAACAACAGAATTAGACTATGCAAGTCTGAGGTTTGTTTTGAAATTATGTGAGCATGGAATCTGTGACAGATTGGTTCAGTGAATAATTTATGTGCTTTAGATTGTATAGAATGTCAAAAAGAATAAGGGACAGCATTTTAAATCCTGAGTAGTATCTATAATAGTATTTTTAAAGCCTTTGCTAGTGTTCGCTAGAGCAGTGTTTCTTAAACTTGACTGTGCACAGGAATCCCCTGGGGAGCTCATTAAAATGCAAACTGAATTCTGTAGATCTGTGGGTAGCTCTGAGAGTCTGCATTTCTACAGCCTTCCAGGTGACACTGATGCTGCTGTCAGCCACACTCAGGACCTGCCTACAGACCATCTTGTAGGATCTGTCAGTGATTTGAGGATAGAATTACTCTCTGCACATTATGTGTCTTGGAGAGTATTTTCTGAATTGCATTAAAATATAGTGGCTTTTTTGGAATGATCTTATTAAGGAGGAATAAATACTTGCTATTGGTGATCTTATCATTGACACCAAAAATTTATTCAGAGCTCTGTATTTCTGATGCATGGACAAGTGAGGTAGTTTATTAACTGTTAGAAGTGATCCACTTATGGGTGACTTACTGTTATCTATGATAATGAAGAAACTTTTCCAATGGTGCAATTTTTAGGGTAGGTAGTATTGAAGGAAGATTGAATAGTAGGAAAATAAAGGTCTTTGTAAAATATATGGGTAGAAAACACTAGCTGCCTTTCAATATTAACAACAGAGAAATTAAAACAACTTTCCCAAAGATGGCTGGTACAAACACAGAGCTAGGGGTCCAAGAAAGAAAAAGAAGGGAGAGCAGCGTGGGGTCATTTTAATTTACTTTATTATTTTTTTAGGGTCATTTTACACCTCCCCACACACGCACACACACACAGCGGGGTGGGTGTGGGATGCAGAAGTGAGAGGCCAGGGAAAGAAGGGAAAACCGTGCATAAAGGGTGCAGTAATGAGCCAGTTACTACTGCAGGTGGGGAGAGCAGGCGGGGAGACGCGCCTCGGGGTGACCCCACCCGAGGGAAGCTGAGGTTTTTACCCCCCCCACCCCTCCCCAGGCATCCAGTCCCCTTAGGGGGTGTGCTAGACTACCCCTGGCAGAAGAGCAGAGCGCCCCCTGCAGCCCGTGCTGGAGGGTCGGGGCGGGGAACACACAGGGCACCTGTGGGGGGAGGGGGCACCGTGCTCACGTCCCTGGTGGCTTCTGAATCCAGGTCCCTCCTCCTCCTCCTCGGAGGGCACTGCGGCCCATCCCGCCCAGTGTGGTCTCTTTACCGAGTCCCCCACTAAATAATTTTTGGTTTTATTGACAGACTTTTTCTTTTATCCTTTGATCCTTGATTTTTCAAACAAAATTGTGCTTTTCTTAGTTAATTATTCTTACTGCCTATATCTCTGGCACCATCTGCTTAGTTTTTTGTTGTTGTTTGTTAGTTGTTTTTGTTTCGTTTTGTTTTTTTGCGGTACGCGGGCCTCTCACTGTTGTGGCCTCTCCCGTTGCAGAGCACAGGCTCTGGACGCGCAGGCTCAGCGGCCATGGCTCACGGGCCCAGCCGCTCCGCAGCATGTGGGATCTTCCCGGACTGGGGCACGAACCCATGTCCCCTGCATCGGCAGGCGGACTCTCAGCCACTGCGCCACCAGGGAAGCCCTGTTTTGTTTTTTTTAGCATCTTCTCTAATAAGTGTTTTTTTGTGTGTCTGGGACCTTGTATACTTGGAAATACCTTATTGGACCCTCAAATTTAAACGACACTTGACTGATATAAAATTCTAGGTTTAAAGCTAACAGAGTTTTGTAACTTTTTTTTTTTAAGATTTTTTTTGTTTTGTTTTGATGTGGGCCGTTTTTTAAAGCCTTTATTGAATTTGTTACAATAGTGCTTCTGTTTTTTGTTTTTTGGCCCCGAGGTATGTGGGATCTTAGCTCCCCAACCAGGGATCGAACCCGCACCCCCTGCATTGGAAGGCGGAGTCTTAACCACTGGACCGCCAGGGAGGTCCCCAAAAAAGTTTCTTAAAGTATGATTAAATAATGTTTTATTTGTAGTTTAAGTAAATGTTAGAGTTCAAGTAAATATAAATTTGTTGTCCAATATGCTAGTGTGATCTCTTCAGTTTTACTTCTCCTTCAATTCTGAGCAAGTCTCACACTGTGTCTGTCAATCTGCCTGTCCCCCACCCCTCAGTTTTGCATAATTAATTTATTCTTTGGTTCAAAGCCTGTTCTAGAGGAGAGAAGCCTCTGCTTTTACAGTCATAGTGAACTGCTGGTTTTTTCCTTCATTAATTGTTATTTGGGTTTCTACCATATTCCCTCAGGTGATAAACAAACCTTTTTTTGTCCCTAGAGTGTCTTAGGTAGCCCAGGTATGTGTGTCTTGAGTCTTAGTAGGAAACTCTTACACCTGGGATATCTGGAAGGAAGGAGTAGCAGTGAGGAACCCTCTTGACTCCAGAACAATTTTCTCTTCTCACCTGTTTTTGTCACTATGCTATCTGATTCAACAGCAAATCATTGGTAAAAACCCTCTTCCAGAAGGTTGATGCTTATTTTTAAAATGAGATATTATCAACTAATGTGATAGTTGATAGTTAAAATATTGTCAACCTAATGTGATAGTTGATAGTTAAAATATTGTGAGTATGGTATGGGAATTATGCAGTTAAAGAGGATGAAAAACTAAATTAAACTCTTTTCCTCTCTACTATATATAAATATTTTACTCTTGGCACTGGTTCCTAAATTACATTCTTTAGCATTGATGGTATTCTGCTACTAAAATAAAATAATATAGATTTTTTTAAAAAGTAAATAGAATGAGAAAATTATGATATTTTTCTGTCATAGACTTTTCTTAAATCTGTGCCAAAAGAAATTAAGAAGCAGGTGACAGATATTAACGAGAAGAACTCAGCAATTCTGTCATTCATGCCTAGTTTACTGTTCTCTGTGGCTTTTACAGTGTTATTAAATATATCAGTATTTTGTGGTGTTCCACAAGGAATGTGTATAATTTTGAGGGTACTTTGGCACTTGCACAAATTTGAGAACCACTGTTCTTGGTAAAAATTGGTTCTTTGAATTAGAAAATAGAGTTTATATGTTAAAAAATAGGGCTTCCCTGGTGGCACAGTGGTTAAGAATCCACCTGCCAATGCAGGAGACACGGGTTCGAGTCCTGGTCAGGGAAGATCCCACATGCCACGGAGCAACTAAGCCCATGTGCCACAACTACTGAGCCTGCGCTCTAGAGCCCGTGAGCTACAACTACTGAAGCCCGCGCGCCTAAAGCCTGTGCTCCGCAACAAGAGAAGCCACTGCAATGAGAAGCCTGCGCACCACAATGAAGAGTAGCCCCCGCACACTGCAACTAGAGAAAAGCCCACGCAGCAACGAAGACCCAACACATCCAAAAATAAAATAAATTAAATTAAAAAAAAAAAGCAGCGCTACAAAGATGAGTTCAACATTTATTTACATAAAAATTGTTTTGAATACGTAAAAGTTTCCCTCACCCTGCATAGGATTGTTTCATTAATGCAAATAACATTTTTATTTTGTGAACTTACAGGAGCCCAGGCTTGTGTGCTTGTATTTTCCACCACAGACAGGGAATCTTTTGAAGCGATTTCCAGTTGGAGAGAGAAGGTGGTGGCTGAAGTTGGAGATATACCAACTGTACTTGTACAAAACAAGATCGATCTCCTTGATGACTCTTGTATAAAGAAGTAAGGTGGCTACTGTTGAGGGGGTGGCTGTAATTCTGTAAAGCTAAAACCTATTATAGTTTTTGCATACACTTACAAAATTTAGGAAAGTTTTTAAAAAGACTGCCTTATACTTAAAAATTTCTGTGAGCTATTGTGTGATTGGTTTGGGTTTAAAAAGTTCACACTGAATCAGTAGTAAAGAAAATTAAAAGAGTACGTTTTGAAAGCCCTTTTAGAATTCCAGGTCCTTGCAGCTCAAATCCAACTCCTCATGTGAAGTCAAATCTAGACAGAGTAAGAATGTTAAGAGAAACATTCCAGAACTTCCCTGGTGGCGCAGTGGTTAAGAATCTTCCTGCCAGTGCAGGGGACATGGGTTCGATCCCTGGTCCGGGAAGATCCCACATGCCGCGGAGCAACTAAGCCCGTGTGCCACAACTGCTGAGCCTGCACTCTAGGGCCCGCGAGCCACAACTACTGAAGCCTGCATGTCTAGAGCCCATGCTCTGCAACAAAGAGAAGCCACCACAATGAGAAGCCCACGCACTGCAACAAAGCGTAGCCCCCGCTCACCGCAACTAGAGAAAGCCTGCATGCAGCAACGAAGACCCAACGCAGCCAAAAATAAATAAATAACTTTAAAAAGGAAAACATCCCTAGATGTTTTAATATCTAGCATAAGTATGTTGATGAGTTTAAATAGGTAAGCAGTTCAGATTCGTATTGTTTTGTATACCCAGAACCATTATGCTCACATTTGTGAACAGAGTTTGGCATCCAGATAATTTCTCTGTATAAGTATTTGTTTACTGCATTATTAACTTTTTTCTGGCTTTGAAAATACCTACTTGGTTTTTACCTTATTTTTTTTATAAGTTCTTGTATTAGTTGTCTGATGCTGTATAACAGATTAGCCCAAAACTTAGTAGTTTAAAACAACAAACATTTATTATGTCACAGTTTTTGTGGGTCAGGAATTTGGGAGTGGCTTAGTTGGGTGGCTTGGTTCTGGGTTTTCATGAGGTTGCTGTCAATATGTTGCCGGGGCCTGTGGTCACAGGAGGGCTTTTGACTGGGGCTGGGGGGGTCTGCTTCCGGGATGGCACCCTCGCTTGGCCATGGGCAGGTGGCCTCTCCTTCAGGCTGCAAGTGTCCTCAGTGTGTGGCAGCTGCTTCCCCAGGCACGTGATCCCAGAGGGGGCAAGGCGGAAACCGCAGTGCCTCTTATGAGGAGTCTCAAAGTCACACGCCATCACTTATGTATGTCATTGATGACACAGACCAACTTGATTACAGTGGGGGAGGGGAGGCGTGTGGTAGAATCATTGGGAAATATTTTAGAGAATTGGGAGTCATAATGAAACTAAAATTAGGAGTCCACTGTTCTAGACACATCAATATACTGACTTAGGCTTTGGCAGCAAAGTAGTTTTGTAGCCAATAAGAGTAAAATAGGTAATGCAGTATAAGACTATACAGAGTGTAATTAAATTCAAGTGTTTTTAATAACTGAAGAGAGAAAATTAAATTAGTATATAAAGAAAAGTGACATTTAGTCATTTTAAGGCTAGAGTAAGTGACTTTATAGAAAAGTGTCTTGCAGTTACAGTGAGATGGCTGGTGTTTACCCCCCCAAGAGCAGTGACAACTGAAAATCCTGCTCAAGCACTGAGTGTAGCTCTCACCTGTTCTGGAAGGGCTGACTGCTGTCCTCAGGCTGTATGCAGTAAATGTAATAAAACAAGCTCTCAGAAAGTACCTTTACATGCGTTTTTTTCAAATTGATGTGTAGTGAGGAAGCTGAGGCACTGGCAAAAAAGTTGAAGCTGAGATTCTACAGGACTTCAGTGAAGGAGGATCTGAACGTGACGGAAGGTAAAGTGCCTTCTTAACAGTTAACAGCAGGAAGTTTGTTTATTCTTCTTATGCCTTTTCTTTTTGTTGTTTAGAAATCGTATTTGTAACGAGAATAGAATTTTCTCTTTGTCATGTATCATTAAGTAAAGTTTAAAGGCTGATGCTGCTCTGAGTTTGAGTCCTTGATTATTTACTAATGTCTTTGAATAGTTGTTACTCTACAGCAAAACTCCAGTGGGCTTTATTGTATTTAAAAATACAACAGGCTATGTGTGTGCGTATATGCGTGTGTGTTTTTGAAGCGTACCTTCTAAAATTGCTGCATTAGAACCCCACAGCGGTGGACACCCCACTAGGTAGTTACAGTGACCTTAACTTGTTTAATAGTGTTTCCTAGTTTAAGAAAGTGAGATTAGAGAAAGATGGTTGTTATTTTTCTCATTCCGGAATTGCTGCTCATTTTATTAGATTGCAGCTCAGCTGTTGCTTCAGTGTCCCCTGAATAGTGGTTTTCAGTTAAAGAAAGAGTCTTTTTAAGACTGAGTCAGTTTAGTGTTGCTGAATATTAGTCACTATTCAGGTACTTAAAACTAAAGAGCCAATGACTACAAGTAATATTTTATTTCTTTACTAATAAAATGCTACTATATATTTATTAGTATTACCATTGTAATTAGGTATTACTTAGATAATTTTTAGAAGTTGAATTTTTTCAACTAGATTGTATACTTCTAACTATAATTTTAAATTTGTTTTGTAAGTATAAATATTATAGTAAGTGATGTGAAAGAACAGGTTTTACATGCATAATTATACTGACCTGGCAAGGTTTTTGGTTTTGTTTTCATTCCAGTTTTTAAATATTTGGCTGAAAAATATCTTCAAAAGCTTAAACAACAAATAGCTGAGGATCCTGAATCAATGCCTTCAAGTAGTAACAAAATTGGTAAGTACCCAGGAAGTTTTAGCCCCATGTTTACCTGGTAAATTTATTTTCCATTCATTATTATCATATTTACTGGGTTTTTTTTTAAATACAGTATGCTCCTTTCTTTAGGAAATGTGACTGGAAAGCGTGAGATGAGTGATTATTAAATTTAGTAGTATCAGCTCTCATTAAAAGGTATATTGAGGGGGCTTCCCTGGTGGCACAGTGGTTGGGAGTCCGCCTGCTGATGCAGGGGACACGGGTTCGTGCCCCAGTCCAGGAGGATCCCACATGCCGCAGAGCGGCTGGGCCCATGGGCCATGGCCACTGAGCCCGCGTGTCCGGAGCCTGTGCTCCGCAACAGGAGAGGCCACAGCAGTGAGAGGCCCGCGTACCACAAAAAAAAAAAAAAAAAAAAAGTATATTGAGTTAAAAGATTTTTTAACTGATGAATTTTCTAAAGGTCTGTCCTTTTTGAACACTTGTTTCTCTGACTTGACACTTGCACCATCTCCACACCTTTTCCCTTTCCTGCCACCTTGCTGAGCACCCATCCTGATTTTTAACATGAGATGCCAGCAGAGTTTAGTATTTCCTGGAGAACAGGAAGCACCTGTCCGCATCTTACTTTGGGCCATGGCTTCTGGGAGGATGGGTGCCGGTCCTCTGTCCTAAGGACCTCCTGCCTGCACCCCACTACTCACTACACACACACACACACACACACACACACACACACACACACACACACACACGCATTTTCTTGGCCTGTTTTAACTTTTCTTACTTTGCCCTTTTTATTGTATATGTTCCTACTGTCAGGCACCTTACATGCTCTGAGAAACGACAGGGCAGTTGTGATAAGCCGCTGTCTGGTCTGGTCTCCTGGGCCCACCCTGTCTCCTTCCAGTCTGCTGATTAAAGCCCTTTGATAGATTCTGGTTGTGGAACACATTCAATTCAGGCTCTCTTCATCCCAGCATTTAAAGACAGTTTGGTCCATCCTTCCTGTGCAGCCTCGTGCCCCACTTTTGTAATGTACCCTGTTTACGGTTCCACCACAGGGCCCGCTGTTTCTTGAGCCTGCCTAGGGCTGTCTTACTTATCCCTTTGCTCATTTTGGCTCTTCCATTAAGAATGGCCTCCCATTCCCACCTTCTGTTGAGAACTGTGCATCCCGCAAGGTCTATGGAGAAAGCTCTCGGCTATCTGTCTGGCTGAAGCACAGCCTTCACTTCTCTTAAATGAACAGAGACCTGAGTGCAGGGCATTGCCAGGGGTCCAGTCCCTCCATGTAGTTTGTCCTTTCTTATGAATTAGATGTGGTTGACCCTTCCTTTGAACCATCTGTGGGATCTTGTCTCTTTTAAGACACTTAACATAGAGTGTCCTGTAGCATCACTGCCTGTTTGTAGTGCCTCACCTCACTCATCAGATTGTAAGCTTCTTGGGGGCAGGAATCAATCTTAGTAGTCTTTGTGTCGCTCATAGTGTCTCTGGCCCAGAGTCTTGTGTATCTTGGACGATAAATAGCCCATAAACTGGAGATTACATTTTAGAACCAACATTGTTCAAAATGAAAACTCTAACAGTTGAAAGTGTTTCTTTAGTTCATCCCTTTTGTCTGCTCAGGTGACCCTGAGATCCGTTAGTGTTAACCTTTGTGTTTTCCCTCAACTTGTCCAGGTGTCTTTAGCACGTCTGCTGGGAGTCACTTGGGTCAGAATTCAAGTACCCTTAATGGTGGAGATGTCATCAACCTCAGGCCCAACAGACAGAGGACCAAGAAAAACCGAAATCCTTTTAGCAGCTGTAGCATACCCTAAAATGCTTCAGGGAGGAAGAAGTGAATTGTATTGTGCAGTAAGATACATCCAGCTGTCACGGTATGTTAACACAATTTTTTCGCAGACTTTGCACCTAATGGCTCTCTGAAAGCTGACAGACTTAAACAGATAGCACTGCTCTGCAGTGCTTTTCAGAATGGAGCAAGATCTCTGGTGGAAAAATTACTGCCCTCTGGACTTATTTTAATTTTTTTACATTAGACGAAGCTTCTCCTGTTTTTGAAGGAATGCTATAAGAAACATCAAAAACAGGTTTTGCTGAATTTGAAATGCTGGAAAACATAAATGAAATGCCTAAATATACTGGTACAGATTTTAATATTATGGATCAAGGAAAGATAGCAACCGTTCTTTCTCTGAAATTGGTCATCTAGCTTTTCTAGGAAGTAGTATTGAATCTGAATACTGAAAAGAATAATATTGAAAGGCGAACCCTAATCTTGCCAGACTGCATTAGTGTGTACTTCGGCAATGCTACTTGTGCAATATCTGTAGATGTGGAATGTGGAGGTACGTGCACACGCAAATCCCTGGTTCTGGAGTAAACAGAAGGTGTGTGCAGTGTTTAAGGAAACATAGACTCTAACTCATTCATTCATGAAACCATTTACACATTTATGTGTATGTTATAAGTTTCTATTTTCAAATGAGAAATTCTAGACATATTTTGCAAAATGAGCTCAGATTTTAAAAGTGCTTTTGTGCCAAAAATACCATACCTAATTTTCAGTGCTTTACCAGAATTTATACTGTTGATAATCTCTTTTAAAAGCAGTTTTCCTCTCTGACAGAGTAGATGAAAGAGTGTCTTAGTGCTAGAGCCCCTCCCAGGTGGCACTGGTTGCGTGCGGAATCTTTTCATGTCCCTGCACATGCATGGCGGGCTTGGGCTGGCGGCTGCAGGACCCCCGCCCTGTGCAGCGTGGCCGCCCTGTACCCAGTGCCTTTTGCTGTTGACAACGCAATTCTGAACTTTTAGGATTATGCTAACAGTTTTTTTAAATACGCAAGAGGTGATCTTTTGTCTTAAACCACATTACGGATTTTATAATGCCCTGCAACTCTAAAGCATCTTTTTGTTTACATATTTTTTGTATGGTATTTTGAGATTATCATTTAAAAATTTCTATAAACTTCAGTTTGTATAGCACTTTCTCAAGAGCTCTGTCAGCACCAAATGCAAAATAATTTCTTTTAATAAGTGATTTTAACATGTAATCATGTGGCAGAGCATACATTTTGTGACTTGGGACAGTAGCTTTCCAACTCGGATAATTAATTGCATGAACTCTGGTAAAACTGATCATCATTCATCAATGACTTGTTTTTAACCCCTTGCAATATACCTGGTTTTTACAGGATTTAAATATATGTAAAAATAACTTTTCTTGGAAAATGTGTCACAAAGTCATTTTTCATTATTTCTACTAAATGCATAATGTTTTATATATTCCTTTTGTATGTTTTCTCTCTCTCATTCTTTTTTTTTTTAAGTCTTCCGTCTGCACCACCCTCATCCCCTGTCCAGATTAATGTTGAAAACATAATAGAATTTTGTAGGGCATGTCTTTAAGTGGTCAGGAGTGAAGGTTTGCTTTTCATAATATTGAAATAATCTGGCATTATCTATTTCAAAGTAATATGTTTATTTTTATGTCACCAGTTGTCACCACTCCCATTGCTGGCAGTGGGATAGGTGTTGGAGAAAAACTCTCTTCCTAACAATGGGTACCCGCTAGTGATTCCCTTTTCTACTCTCTGGAAATACAGTCCCTTTGATTTTTGCACAAAATATATTTTGCGTCAAATAGTCTTTAGTAGCAGAAAAACCACGTTATATAAAATGTTGTAGTTCTATTTCACATTAATTAAATGTGTGTGGGTAAAAGTTTGTTATTTTTCTACATTAAAAAAATCTGATGATGGTTGCAGTTCCCCTGATATTTGTAATATAATTTTGTGTATTTAGTTTTGTCCTTTTTTTTTAAACAAGAACTGAAGAGAGATCTTTGTTACACATTTGAATTTTTAATTTGCAATTCTGTATTTTACCTAACCATAATTAGTCATTTTAAATAATTAAGTAGGCCTGAAAATCAGCCACAAGTGATATGTTACTTTCTCAATTCTAAAAACCTTCAAAATTGACATTATATTCTTTCACCTTGAGGCCTTTAATTCTTTTAAATAACTTAACTACTAATTTCTAACGAACCATGGATGCTGAAGAAATACTAAGACCCCGGGACGTTGTGCATTTGTGCAGTAATAGCTTTCGTATGTCGTGGCTCATTTTTGGCTGTGGCGTGGCTGCTGTGTCTCCGAGTCCTCAGGATTCCTTTTCCTCTTTCAGTCTGCCTCTCGAATTAATAGTGTACAGAATAGGCCACATAAGGCGATATAATTAAATAAAACCAGGCTAAATGGTTTCCTTTTTATCTGCCCAAAGTTGACAGCACTCATGTACTTCTTCAAAATATAGTAAAACTAACAAACACTATCAGAAGAGCCCCTCCCCATTGTGGCCGCAGTCCTGTGCTGTCTGGGTGCCTCAGATGCTGGCAGCGCAGTGCTTGGGAAGAACTCACTGATGGGCTCCACTGTGCCCAGGGCTCCAGGGCTTGGGTCTCCTCTGGAGATCCTGGGATGGGGAAGTGGCCTCAGGACCTGACATCCCAACTTAAAGGGAACTACTTTAATGTAAAATATTATTAATTTTTCCCCTCTTTTTAAAAACCTTTGAAATAGTTACTGGTAACTTGCTAAAGTGCTCTCGTTACTGTTACGGTATCTGTTTCTCTGAAAACAAACAAAATGAACTGACAGGTGAAAATCTGTCCCACACTGCAGTCATCTAATGAACAGAGAAAGTCTGGGCTGATGTGAACAGGAAGGGGAGGATTTCCAGATGCTGACGGTCTTTGGGAACATGAGAAAAACTTGGCTGTCTGCTGAATTTTCAAAAAGCTGATAAAGAAAAAGATGGCACAAAAAGAAAATCTTCTATCTCACAGTGAACCTAATGATAGCAAATTAGTCTGATAAATCAAGAGGCTTTTACCAGTTATCATCAGTGAGAATTAATGTTTCCCACAAAAGAATAGATTTAAATAAGGTGAACTTGGGCTGGCATCAAAACTATCATGAATGTCCTCAGATTGTAATTGCTTTTTATGAAGAGACATATAAATATATAAAACCAATCTGCAGCTTGACTGTTTTTTTTTCTTGCAGTGTGAAAGAATACCTATCTTTTAATGAAAATTGAATCTGATATATTCATTCTGAAGTAGTATTTGGGGAAGCTAAAGTTTTTGTGTATCAATAGCACTAGTTATTTTGAACAAATAAAAGTGTTCTATAGTTGCTGCATTTATCACAGATAAAAGAATAATCAATACACTGGTCAACCTTGTTAGTGAACAAAATGCAATCTAAATTAAGGTATTTCATATTTAATATTAGAAAAAAATACTCAATGCTGAAAAGCTCTCAGTGAAACAGCAACTTTTTAATTATTGAAGACAGTATAAATTGATATAACTCTTATACAAAAAAACTTTGGAAACGTATCAGGCCATGAAAATTATATACCCTTTGACCCAGTAAAACCGATTGCTGGGGATTTATACAAAGAAAATCAAAAACAAACGAAAGAAGGAAAAAGCTCTACGTACACAAATATGTTGCAGTAATAAGCAACAAACTGGAAACAACCTAAATGTCCAGTAAGGGGAATGGGTAAATTGTACAACTACATGGAATAGAGGTTCTTAAGTTGAGAATTAAAAGCAGACTTTAAAACAGTATTTAATTTTTAAAGGCAAGTTACAACATTGTATTTCTGTAATGATTAAAAATTTAAAGAAATGATGCATTTGGAAAAAGATGAAGTGGATATACCATATACAGTTCAGAGTGGTAAAATTAGAGGTGAAGTTTCTCACATTTTATGTCATGTTTTCACGTATTATCAAGAAGTACATTCATATTATGAGATGCATAAATGTTTAAGTTCAAAATAATATGATATAGATGTCTAAAAAACCTGCTGAATGAAAGAGAAGACACAGGGAAGGTTCCCTTCCATAATTCCAAGCTCACTGCTTGGCTCACAGCAGATGCGTGGTCAGTGTGTGCCCGTGTGTCTTTGCAGACAAAGCCCAGGAGAGAACCATGATGCTTTTACCCCTAGCTGAGCACTTATTTCCCCCACATACTAAGTGTTCATCCACAGAATAGTAAAATATATATATATATATATATATATATAGGAGGTGCTAGATCCTAGTACAAGACAAAAATTCAATCTAAAAACTTTTAGAAAGGTAATCAAAATATTTCTAGTTTTAATTGTTATTCACAAACTAACAACACTGAACTAGTTATCTGTCTAACAAACAGAACTAGTTATCACTTAAGATAGTACGTTATCATTTTTATGTGATTATTTATAAGGGCTCTTAGGTTGGAACACTAGTTGAATCTGCTTTCAGTGTTTTGTAGCAGGGTTTTGGAAGCAGCCCCTTTAGAATGCTCCAGCAGCTTGATGGCCTTGTCAGAGTTTTCAATGTTCCTAAGCAGGGTCTCTAGTCTTCTCTTAATTTTCTTCTGATCCTCGAGAGCACAGCCGATCACGATGGACTGGAACTTCTGATCCACCGGCCCCGCAGGCACCTCAGAGGAACACGCGCTGTACAGCGACATCAGGTGACTCTTGGCGTTTCCCAGATCATCCAGAAACTTACTGACCACCTCGTCAATGACCCTGGTGGCGTGCTTGAGGGACTCCTGCTGTTGGGGGTTCCTAATTGTTTCTACTGAAACTTCCACAGTCAGGGTTCGTCCCATCAGACGGTTTGCAGTCAGATTTAATTCTTCTCTTTCTCCTAATCATGAAAAGTTTGAAATATCAATCAATATGAGACATACACGCGTCTATGTCAAGAACACTAAGGTATTTTTGTGTGGCTGAATCTATCCTGTGAGCACCTATGAATTTCTTAAAGATACACGTTAAAACTACAGCAATAAGATTAATTTATAAAGAGTATCAGATTGGATGCCAGATGATTCTGCGGTTGTCACGTCTGCAGAAGCTGGGGCAGGTGTGCGTCTGTAACTGGGGCTTTGTGCTGGTTAGAGCAGGAGACTGGATGCCCTGGATCTACGTGAGGATGTGCATTAGAGGAGGGAGATAACTTTCCCTTTACCTTTCTGAGCTTTTGGCTGAGACCCTCCTGTAATAAGACAGATTAACAAGAAAAAAACCCAGAAGCTTATTGCCATGTATACCCCATGTATATACATGGGAGATCCCCAGGGAAACTGAGTAACTCCCTGAGATGGCCCAGCCTCCACCCAAAATACTCTCAGCTAGAGAAGGTGAGGACGGAGGGAGGCAAGTTCTGGAGGTTCCCAGAAAAGGCACGATAGACAAAGGTAAGGTTCTTATGTAGATTCAGTAGGTGCCTTCTCCACTGGTGAAGGTTTCTTGTAGTTTTGTCATCCTCCTCTTCCTGGTAGAAAGGGAGACACCCTTACAAATGATTTCCTTTACAAAATGTAAATGTAAATTTCCCTTACAAAACAGTGACTTCTTCTGTTTTCAGAGCTCCTCCTCCTGTGTCTGCAGTTTCTCAAAAATAGCCAGTTCGGAATAATCCTTAGGCCAGAGAGGCATATTTCGGGGCCTCACATTCTGTGTGTGTATCAATACAATGCCCCGATTCTGGCTGAAAAAAGCCATGACACGGGAGGAAAAGCTGGCCTGAAAATGAGGCACTGACTTCATCCCCTCCAGACTAATTGAGGCCAGTAGTCTGAGTCTTGGCCAGTATGAAGAGGGTGCTGGGTTATCACTTCACTATTTATATGGAAATCAGCAACCTGTCCTGCTCTGTAACCTCCTTCCCAATTCACTGCTCTATGGCCAGGACAGTGAAGAGACACACTAGATCTTGACCCCTCTGAGGATGTGTGACAGTGTGGGTCTGGGCCGGGATGCACACTTAACCGCACCAGCTGCTCGGCCCACAGGCCGGTCCTGTGCAGCCCCAGGGGAGCCTGGTTAGGAGGAGCACCGCCCACTGGTGCAGAGCATCACAGGCCACCCGGCCCTCCTGTGGAACAGGGTTCAGTGGGTCCATAATCTGTTTTCTCTGCCTTTCTCCCCTTCCCCTCTATACGTTACACCTCCATTCATCTCCTTTTGTCTTCTCTGCTGCCGACCTTGTGCCTGTTTCCTCTGCTGTCACATCCTGCCCAGCCGTCTCTGCTGGGCTGGAGGAGCGGCTCTGCGGCACCCCCGCCGCCCCCCCGGCCCCGGGAGGGGCCCTCACCGTCGCTGATCTGCCGCATGTCCTGGCTGTTCTGGATGCTGTGGATCATCTCCAGGAGGACCTCCTTCTCCTGCTCCACAGCCGTGGCCGCTTCCCGAAGAGCCTCCACCCTGCGGAGTGCGGGGGACAGGACAGTTACTGGAGGGAAGCCGCGTCTTCCTCATCTCTCCACTGCTCAGTCCAGCTCAGGTGTAACGACGATTAGGAACACTTCCCAAAAACTCCTTACTCCTTTCTATTTTTTATTCTGTAATTGTTTTCCTTTTAATCCACTTGCCCTGTGGCTCCCAGTTTCCTCCCCGCTCACAGGGCACTCATTCTATTTAGTGTTTATCGATTTGTATTCGTTTTTACAAAAAAAATCTGCACTCATGTACTTGTCTATTTTCAATTTATTTATATCTCACTGTTTCTTTCTTCACTCAGCAGCATACTTTATTAAGAATCACCAGGTTCCCGTGTCCCTCACCTGATCTGCCCTCCCTGGCCCAGCGGAGACACGCCCTGTCCCCCAGCTTCTGCTCACAACCCGTCCACAAGTACCCTTCCAGCGTGGAACTGGTGAGACACAGGGTGTGTGGACT